TTCCCGCCCCCTTTTTTTTTTTTTGAGAGGTTTTTGCTATATGGCACGTGTGCTCGCCAGAGAGACAGAGAGACAAAAAGCAAGAAATCACCCCCCCCAGGGGACATGGCCAATCCCTTCTCCTCCATTCTCCTCTCAGTATTATGGGCACGCACGCACACAAGCCCGGCATAAGTTTAAGCCCCCGGGTCCAGGACTCAAACCGTGGTCAACTACATGGGAGTCCAGCGACATAGCCATTACGCTAACTGCTGGTCCCTCCTCTTTTATTTTTATATCTGATTTTAAATCGTGTTTCTTTCAGGATCTCAGAAGCTCTGTGTTAAAAATATGTACATTTTTAGAAAAAGAACTAACTGATGATGTCATTGATTCTGTTATTCAACAATGCTTATTTGAGAATATGAAATATAATTTAGAAACACCTGCTAATGCTGTTATTTCAACTTTTTCTGAGAGAAGAGGAAAAACAGAATTCATCCGCAGAGGTAATGCTGGGGAGTAAAGATTGTTTTTGTTATGTACTGCTTTTTGTTATAGGAGATTGTTTCTATAATTACTTGATTATCTACTGCTTTTGACAATTGATTATTATTATTTTATACATTCAATCACTATACATCATTTAACTTGTAGAGAGAATTTACCCAACTTGAAATACACCTCAGATCATTAGAGAATCTATGCACATTATCATCCACGGGTAATAAACCATTTCTGTTTCCCACAAATGTCTTGCTTCTGTATTTTTCTTCCTAATTTCCTTCTGTACACGTTTTTCCTCTCCGCCCTCCTTCCCCAATGTCTCCAGTGTCCATAACTATTTACCCAGCCTTTATGCCGTTCTATCCTCCAGTCTCTGCCATCGAGTGCAGACAGTTGGTATGTTAAGTGGAGACATATGATGTCTCTCTTTCATAAGCTGACTTGCTCCATTCAGCAATAAATCTTCCATGTTCATGCACTTTCCATCAAATCTAGGATCTCGTTGTTTCTTATGGCTGAATAGTATTCTGGGGAATATATATGCAACACTTTCTCAATCTATTAATTTGTTCATGAACATTGAGTCTGGCTCCATGTCTTAGCAATCATGAATAAAGCCACAATAAACTTAGATGTGCAAGCACTTTTCCAATTGAGCATTTTCCTGTCCTTCAAGTAGATACTCATGGATGGAACTGCAAGATTATATGGTAGTTCTACTTGTAGTAGACACTTTTTTATGCTAGTCTCATTTCCAACATTATTCTTACTTAGTCAACTAATACATACCACATTTCAGAATGCCTATTGTAGTCAAATACATTTCAGACACTGAAACTTGGTTGTTCTTTATGTCTTAGTTCTGTTGAGAAATCCACTAATACTCACTACTAAAGTTTCTACTTTAATAATGCAGGTATATTTGACAGAGTTTTATTTTGTTAGTTCCTTAAAGCAAATGAATTAATTAGTATATAATAAGACACTAAACATTCTGAAAAGAAATGAATAATACAGTGTTGGGCTTTTCTTGTTACCAATCAGCAGAAAATTATGGCATAATTATGGAGTCATTTCATTTTTCTTTTTCACTTGCAATTCATAAGTCACTGGAAAATTAAAATGGAATGAAACTTGATCTAGTCACAGTTTTGGTTTATCTGTTTATTATCATGAAAAGAAGCAGATTTAAATCAACTAAGGGAAATGATGTATGGAGAAGACTAGCACATGCTCCATATATAGAGCTAGGGAGGTGTTTCAAGGTCCTCTTAAGCCTTGATAGCCAGACATACGTCTCCTAAATTTGCATGACTCAACACAGAACTAGGTTCTGCCTCCTGCGTGGATTATCGTGATACTACATTACATAAAATTTCCCTGGCAGCCAGCAGATGATGTAGTGGCAAGGTCGCTGGACTCCTACATGGCTGACTGTTTCCTATTCTGGACACATTGGTTTGAAACTCGTGCTGGGTGCATGTGCAATTGTACCCAGATTCTGAGGAGGACAATTGAGAAGAAGGGATTGTTGCATGGCCATCCCCCTGGGAGGTGATTTATCACTTTCCTTCTCACTGTCTGACTGTCTCTCTCCTCTCTCTCTCTCTCTTGCTCTCTTCTATCTCTCTGGTGAGCACATACACCTTACGTAAAAACCTCTAATTAAATATATAAAATTTCATCTTAAATCATGCATTTGTTGTGGTCTAAAGTCTCCAAACTAAATCACAATTTCAGGCCGTCTAGTGGCCCACAGATTTTATCTATGCAAAGATCATTTTATCAGGTCGAACATGACAACATATTAGACATTACCTACCAGGAGACATGGGCAAAGGCTAAATATTATGAAAATACTATTCTTTACTATATTCATGAATGAGAGTGGTTTAAGCTATGAGATAACAACTACTTTTAGTTAATACTCATAGAAATAATGATTCTGCAAGCATGCAATTAATCAAAAATTCAGTAATGGATATTAATTCAACAATTAATAACAGAGAATATCCGAAGTGTCACGAATTTCTCATCGGCAAATAGAGAATAAAGAGTAAAAGCAGTACCAATTTTTTCCTAAAGCAAATGAGATAGGCAAAGATTAACTAAATGATCCACAAACAGATAACATATAAATACTCTCATCGATAATAAGACAATTTATTTAGGGCTTCAAAATTCTCTTTTACTGGGAACTAGCAGTTAGCGTAATGGCTATGTCGCTGGACTCCCACATAGTCGACCGCGGTTCGTGTCCCGGACCCGGTGGCTTAAAACTCACGCCGGGCGCGTGTGCGTGCGTGCCCAAGATCCCGAGAGGAGAATGGAGGAGAAGGGATTGCGGCGTGACCATCCCCCCTGGGGGGTGATTTTTCGCTTTCTTTCTCTATGTCTCTCTCTGTCTGTCTGGCGAGCGCACGCACCCTACAGTGAAAATCTCTCAAAAAAAAAAATTCTCTTTTACTGTATAAAATATCAGAAAATGCCCCCACTGAGAATGAGCTGATATTTAAAGGGAAAGTAGAATTTAACTGAGTCAAGATGAGTAAGAGAACATGTTGAAAATATAAAAGACCAAGGATTGGTGTGCCTCGAGAAGAAAAGAAACACCGTGACACTAGATGAGGCTGAGATCTTCGAGGTCTGTCCTCTCAGTGACAGCGTAAACTAGGGGACATTCTGATCACCCACTTCATGAGAGCTAGAACACAGTTACTTGTTTCCAATTTTATGTTGAGAAAGAATGAAAAAGCTTTCATATGAGTTTACAGCTACAGACTTGGCCTTTGAATTCATACTACCTGC